TCATACAAAGTCTAGCATCACCCTCTCCGGAGCCACCGAAGACGTTTGCGGCTTGAGAACTCCTCCGGGAATATTTAACATAAAGTAATAACTTAGATCAAATCAATTTCTGTTCTCACACCATGCCTTCCTTCACACAGACAGTCACCTGCTAACGTAACACCTGGTGTACGTAAAACAACGAAGGGAAGAACAAGAAAACACGCGAATATACTGAAGGTCTGTTCGCTCTATTGGTACTTCAGGACAAGACGTAATGAGATGCTCTTCACTAGGGTGTTTTATGTACAATTTATTCAATAGGAATTTAAAAACTATTGTGAAAGAAAGAAGATTAATGAAGGTGAATATTGCTATATCTTATTAACGTTCCGGTTAGACTTGTAATAGGTGCATTTAAACTCCCATATACATCTATATATCTATATCTATATATACATTTCTCTCTCTTTCTCTCTCAATATATAAATGTATATATATATATATATATATATATATATATATATATATATATATATATATATGTATATATATATTTTTTTTTGCATTTTCAAATCATACTGAGTTATCATTCATTCTCACATTATTAACTAATCCTCGTCCTCTTTATGTCTCACAACCCCCCAAAATAAATCATACCTACATAACACCATAAATATGATATCAACAATTACGTTTCAAAAACCCCTTTCAGCACCACATTCTTACATCACCGGATTATCATTATCATCACAGCGCAAATACCCTTCTCTTTACGACGCTTTCTCGAGAGCACCCACTTCCTGCACGGGAACTGAGCTCATTTTGTCTCTAGTTATTAAGCTGGGAATAAAAATCGGGCGGGCGTGACGTATGCGAGGAGGAGGAGGAGGGGGGGAGTGCACGGACGGAAACTACTGTTGTGCTTGGTCCTGCCTTCTGTACGTGCGTCCGTGTGGGTTGTGTGGATGGATAATGGACTCGTGGGAAGGTTTATGAGAGGGGGGGGGGGTAGAGAGATGAATGGATGGGTGGGTTGGTAGGTAGGTAGGTGGGTAGGTAGCTAGGTGGGTGGGTGGGTTTGTGGATAGATGAATGGATGGATGGGTGGGTGGGTGGATTTTTGGGTGGGTGGGTGGGTGGATGGATGGATGGAAGGATGGGGGGATGGATGGAGGGATGGATGGTAGATAGATAAACAGACAGATACATATTTAAGTGGATGGATGGACGGATAGATGAATAAATGGGTAGGTAGGAATGTAAATGGCTGGATAAATGGATAGATAGGAAGCCGACAATTCTATAATTTCTATTTCAATCTTATGATTTTATCGAGTTCATTTGTTATCGTAACGATTTCAAAATGTTGTAATCTAAGTTGTTTTGTTTCCCTCCATTTTCAAGATTAAGGAAGTTATAAATTAAATGTTTCTGAAGATTTTAAAAATGACTTTAAGATTAAGAGGGGTGAGTCCCCCTTTTTTTGGATATTGGTGAATTTTATTTTATATGTAATTAAGTTTACCGATCGATGAAATAAGACGGTCGTTTTGAATAAGATATATAATTCCTGCTGTTTACCAATTAATTAATGAAAACAACGGCAGCAAGAAAGACACCAACAACAAAACCGGAAGTGCTGCGTTAACCATGACTAGTATTATAGTAAATGGGTTATAATTGACGAATTTACTAAATATCTATAGACATCGAGTCCATCCAAATAGTGGGATATGCTTGTGACAATCGGAATTAGTGTTTCATGACAACAATTAATACAATTAACAATTACTTAGGTAGTTCCATTATAGTGAAAAAAAAACGGGAAAAATAACATCAACGATTGATTTTTACCGAGACAAAACGACACAGATAACGAGACAAAACAAAACGACGAAGAACTCCTGGCAAACAAGATGCGAGGAACATCAACAACAACAACAAAAGCATAAGCAGCGACACAAGAACAGCGACCGAGATCCTCACCGGAGGCCTAGGACTCGTGACGAGAGGACTCCTCCTGCAGGCTGCTGTAGGTCTCGAGGGCCTGGTGGACGAGCGGGGCTAAGGAGGACACGGCCTTCCCGACGGTGGAGAGGTCGAGGTCCAAGGAACTCCCGAAGGACCGGCCGAGACCGAGTCCTACATCGATGAAGCCGAAGTATCCGAGGGCGATGAAGGCGACGAAGGCGAGGATGATGATGTTGGTGACGTTGAGGGTGAGGAGGGACGAGTAGGAGGTGGAGCGGGCCGCCTCCACCAGCCGGAGGACCATCTCGGAGAGCACGTCGTCGGGGAAGGAGGTCTTCGGCGCCCCTTCGGCCTCTCCCGCCGACGCGCACGCCGCCAGGAGGGACAGACACAGTACGAACTTCATCATGGCGTTGGTTGTTATTTCGTGTATATTCCGATACGAAAAAAGGAAGAGTTTTTTTTTTTTTTACTTTTTTACTTTAAGTGTTTTTTTTTTTCTGTTTTCTCCCCCAAGAGAGATCTCGCGGCGTCAACCCTCACGACA